ATGAACTAAATAAACAACCTCAAGTGTGCGTTAAATCCTCCAATCCCTAACCCTGCATCAGATATGCAATCTACTGTACGTTTTCCCCTCTTTTAGTTGGATGGAATCCTCTTTTACCACGGAGATGTGGCCTACAGACGCGGGGCGACGCCGCTAGTAGGCTGGCTTAAACCGTATATGCTGCCCGAATGGTTCCCCCAGGTGCCTCTTCATCCGGCCTACCTTGGAGACATGTCACCCGACTACGAGGACTACCTTGCTGACATTCGGCGCTACGAGGAGGAGACGAAAAAGTACAAGAGGGCCTATCGGCAGCGGCGAGGTGTCCCCAATTCGGCTGCTGCCGTTGCAGCTGAGGTCGAGCAACCTACAGGAGCTGAGCTCATGACAAAGGAGGAGGGACCTGCGATACAGGACTCAGAAATGGAACACTCTATGACCGATTGACTTTCAGCTACCTCATCATCATCACCATCATTACCGCATCTTCTAAAACAGAGTACTTTTGTATAACACAGGGATTTTACGAAAGACAGTGTTAACGCCTAAACGGGATTGTGTACTTTCGGTAGGGTTGATGCTTAACTGGTAGTGATTGCAAGCAGCAGCTTGGTATGTAATGTGCGCCAGAAAAGTAACAAAAAGGTGTACTTATACTTAATTATACTTATTACGCCAGTGATAATGCCTAGTTTAGCCGGCCTCAATGATGTCGCGGACGCTACCCCTCCACGCGTGAAGATTGGCGGCAGGGGATCTGGAAAGCTCCACCCAGTCTCTTCTCCAGCGACAGAGGCCGAAAATAGAAGGTCTAGGAACTGCTTCCATGTTTTGACGGACGGTGTTGAGCCAAGTATTGCTTTGTCCTTCTCTTTGAGGCCTAGTGGCCTGTGGTGCCGAATATAGGGTAGCATGGCAAAAGTCGTGGGGCGGACGACGGAAAACGTGCCCAAACCACCTCAGTTGCCTTTCTTGAATGGCCCGAGACTTCCTCGCGATAATATCGCAATGA